ACATTCATCTGTCAAGGCCACAACAACGCCATTAATTTGTTATGGAAGCAGTTGAACGATCTACGGATTAATCGACGTTTTCATAACACAGCTGATCTAAAGAGAAAGTTCATCGGTTCATTGACCGCGTACAATGCTATGCGTGACACCGAGTCTGCATGCACAAAATTATTTTTAAATCTATCAGCAGTTTCATACCTTTGAAGCCGTAACTCTTGCAGCAATTTGGGCAGGTCGGTGTCCGCTGCATAGCGAGAGAAAGGCATAAAATAGAGATCTTTTTGCCCAACGTGCCAATAACCTTGCAGGTTTTTCGGATACGAAGCGACACAAACACATGTGTTTTCCGACTCTTCCGATAACTTCCAAATTAGGAGGTGCGAATACTTACGATTTCTTCCAAATATGGAATAATACTTTTTGGCGCGAAAGTAGAACTCGTTTTGCGGGGACGTTCGAGAACGAGATCTTGTGTTTTCATGCTAGAAATCTATCTACGTTGATTGAACTTCGATCCATAAGTGCCCGATCATGAAGCTAAATACTCCCGAAATAGCTTGGCATGGAAAAGAACCAGTGTTGAGTGTAGATTTTTGCAAAGTTGGGTCAAAGTGGCGACTTGCTTCAGGAGGAGCAGACAATGATGTCAAGGTGCGCTACAGATCTATGATCGTAAATCTTAGAAAATAACTTAAGGTTGAATCTTATTATGTGTGTATTTGATGTATCATATCCTTTGCTCCTTATGTTCTAATTTATTATTTTTGTTGTCGTTAGATCTGGTCGATTGCTTCGAATGATGATCAGCATTCGCAGATCGAATTTTTAGCCAATTTGAGTCGCCATACGAAGGCCGTCAACGCTGTAAGATTTTCACCCACAGGTAATAATGCTAGCTTTGTAAACAGTGAATAGAGCCTTCCAGCTTTGGGATCCAGACATCCCTAGCTACACGTATCATAGTGGATCTCATCCCCATCGATCTTAAGGCAACAAATTCAACAGCGATTTTCAGTCAAAAATTAAGCTTAATTGTAATTATTGTTCCCGCATTGTTATGACCCGTGCCCCAGCCTTTCAGCCCTTTCTGGCGGCCACTGAAAGGTAATATTGATGGATCGCGATCATAAGGTGTGGACAATTAATGTAGGCTTGATGAAGAGTTCTTCGTTCCACATTTCATTCACTTCCAAGCTGGGGGAAAGTGGGGGAGAAGGGGTGGTTTGGACTTTTGCCTGTTTCTAACAACCTTTTTGTTGCTCCCACAGAAGAGATCCTTGCATCTGCTGGTGATGGTAAGTTAGTTCATGATTCTCAGGACCGTGGCTTTATCTTCAATATTTTGCCAATCTTTTGTATGTTCTGTTTATATAACATGGGAAACTTTTGGACAACCAAAATGCTACAAAAGAAAAAGATGAAAATAAAGTAAAATAAAAGACTCGACAAAATCTAGATTAGATCAACCCCTTCAAGTCTCTTTTTACTGACAAGAGACTGGGAATAAGGTCGTAGGGGTGGGTCGGGTTCATAGTCATGTTTTTATAAATCTACCTTGTGAACTTTTTTTATTCCCGAGGGGGCATGCTTGTATAAAATGTGCGACCCATTTATCCAAACCCATTATGGCCTATCAGGTGGTGAAAAAACTCCACCATTGAATACACCATCATATCCCCACTGATCAATAAATGGAAAGTACAAATACCTCCCCTAACCCCACCACCTGGAGTGCTCCACATTTCTTTGCATGCCAGGCTTACGGGCCTGTTTATATAGGGTGAACCAGCCCAGTTAGCCAGGCTGGCGCAGTCCTTGCCTCATTTTCCCTTTAAATTGTTGTTCTGTTTATATGAGAAGGTGGGCTTGCCTGCTTGCTAAGATCTCGGCTTGGCTTGAGCAACTGGGATCTCAGCAAGCAGGCCAGGCCAGCGCACCTCATATGAACTGGCCTTTAGAGAAACTTAGCCTCAGTAGACCTCAAATGTTTCTCTAATGGATTAACTTTTCAGACTCTCTGATTATTCTCTGGAAGTTCAACAATTCTCCTGATCAGAGTGGAAATGACATATTTATGGACACTGAAGGCATTGAAAGCAAGGAATCCTGGAGTTTTTACAAGGCCCTAAGGTAAAAATTTAAAAGCCAAATTGTACAAACTCAGAGATGTACACAGTATTTGTAACAAATCATAACATTGATTTTAAATGTTCTTGTCTTGTCAGGAAGTTATTTATTAGTGCATTGAAACTACATTTAGATTTGTCTTTTCCTGTAAACAAAGAAAAGGAAAATGACTGAATGCAACTTGCTTTGGCAGTAGGGAGCCATTCAGAGTGGCTCCTAATTTTAACAAACTGTCAGCAGGCGTATTTTACAGAATGCGGAATGACGCAGAAGTTTTTTATTAATGTTAGGAAGCAGTGAATCAAGTTCCCATTTGAGTCATTAAACCTGACAAATTAACTGGAACTTTATTCGTCTCTTAACCATTTTCATTTTCAAACTTATAACAAGAATTCCTGACAGTTTCCCTTTAATGTAGGTATTTTAAAGTATTAAATTTATTTTAAGAATGTTTTAAGAACAAATCTCTTGTTTTATTGCTGTAATGCAGGGGTCACATAGAGGATGTTTATGATCTATCCTGGTCTTCAGATGGTACCAATCTCATATCTGGATCAATAGACAACAGTGCGATTATCTGGGACATTGTGAAAGGTATATATGTATATTCCATAATTATGACTCGTGAATTAGTGAATTATTAAGAATAACTTAATACAAAATAATAAATAACTTTTTTGGTTTATTTTATTCAATATAATAATTAATTCGTTGATTTTATTCAGGGCAAAAAATTATGATCCTGAAGGATCACAAACATTATGTACAGGGAGTTTGCTGGGATCCACTTAGTCAGTTTGTGGTGACAAATTCCAGTGACAGGTAATTTGCTGTTAACCATGTTACACTTTTATCATTAACTTTCTATTCCCCCAGTCAGTCCCTCATTTCTGTGTTTCAGGAGAAAAAAACTTTTAGATAGTTTTTTTAGAATGTTGTAATATTTTGAGAACATTTTAATATCATATACATGATAAAAGAAATTTTCTTTTATCATGTATATGTTGTGGTTCAATTTTATCCTTGGTTTAAATTTCATTTTCCATTGTTTTAAACTCATTATCATACATTACCATACCCAAAAACAAAGGAAAATAAAATTTAAACCAAGGATGAAATTGAACCAACACATATATAATATTTACTTTTTTGTATATTTTCTTACTTTACATTGTATTTATTTATTTTACATTTCATATATCTTTAATTATATATGAATAAAGGTATTTTTTGTTTACCCAGTGATAAGATCTAACCAACGGCAGGTCCAGAGGAGGGGCCTGGGGGGTCTGCCCCGCCCCACCCCTAATTTTTAGACCACACTAAAGCCCGAACGGCCAGGCCCCCTCCTTACCACGGGCTGTGGATGATATCCTCCCGACGCGCCGAGCACCGCCGCCCCTCTGCGCCGAGAGTCTTACCGCTCTTCATATCATCTTGACATATTCACAGGGCCAGGGGGGGGGCCGGGGGGGTCTCCCCCCCCCCCCCCCTAATTTTTAGACCAAACGGAGGCCCAAACGGCCAGGCCCCCCCCTTCCCCCGGGCTCTGGAGGATTGCCCCCCCCCCCCCCTTATCTGAAGGTCTGAATCTGCCAATGCTAATAAACATTTTAGTAGAATTTGTGATCCTACATGCATGTGCCATGTACTCTGAAAGATGAGTGACTTTTTGAAACAGCTTTGTTTCCATGAATTTCAAAGTGCCTGGATACATTTTACTGAAGTTTCAGCCTTTAATATTTTAGCAGAGAAAAGAAACAAACCCAATTTGGGAATGTTAAAGAATGCATTAAAACTCTTATAGCCTATTGGCAGCAAATGTTTCCAAGGATGTACATTACATGTAATTAATTTTATTTTCTGTTTTGCAGGAGCTGTAGATTGTACAATCCAAATTCTTATCGCTGCTGTTATAACATTAATAAGCTGATCTTGAATAACTCTCAAAAGGCAACAGAAATTGGAGAGGTATGTTGAGTATTAATGGTAATTATTAATACACAAATAATTTGTTTCATTATTATTTTATATATAATACTTTTCAGTGGCATAATAAACTGTATTTTGAAGAGTGTAGAAAAATTCCAAAAGCTGAATGACTCTGAAGTTTCGTGATTTAAAGTATAGGGTTAAGAAACTGGGTATATCAAGTTCCAGTTCAGTTCACCCTGTACAGTGACTCTAACTGGAATGTAAGTCACTAAGCAGCCATAAATAAGGTGTTCAGCAAAATACAGTTGAATTTGCCACATATAAATGTCCTTTCCAGGATTTACATTTCTTTATTTTTGCAGTCTGTAGAAAACCTACTCTATAAATGCATATCCTTGACAAGGCATTGTCCACAATCTATCCTGTCTGCAGCATATGAAAAGCAAACATGCATTGCGCTAATACACAGCAAGTACTATAATAACTCCTTTGTTCTTTATTTAGTCCATCAAGCAAGGAAAAATGTTTCATGACGAGACCATGCCATCCTTTTTTCGAAGACCAAGTTTTTCTCCAGATGGCTCTTTGCTGTTAGTCCCAGGTAGGAAATTAAAAGACACAAAGAACCAACAAAAATATTTGTACGTTACTAAGGACACTTCAGTAAAAGCCTACAAATCCTATGCCGTTGCTAAAAAATTTCATTCACCTTTTCCATTGCACCACATTTGTGTGTATGGAATAAAGTACTTACCATGTACATTGTTATTTTATTACTTGTCTTGATTGGCAGCTGGACGCATTGACGTTGGCGACCAGGTGGTCAATACAACTTATGTCTTCACACGAGCATCACCAAACAAGTGAGTTAAAGTTGTTTCACTGCATTTATTCTCGATTCGCGCAGGAATCAAGAATCGCGAATCGAGTCGAGAATCGAGACTCGCAACAGACTGTCAACTTACTTTTGAACAGTACTGTAGCTGCTTGTGTAGTCAACAAGACACCAAAAGGTTTAAATCATGAGCCTCCATACCAATGGGTGTCTCAAATGGCAGGTAAAAAAAACATAGGTCACTGGTCAGAGCTGTATTGATAAATATGACTGAAATAAGCACTTTCCCCTTAAGCTAAAACTCTATTTCAGATGGTGATTAGAGCTTCTAAGGAGACACTTTCAGTTAATTAATGTACAGTGACTTGTACTCTAACTTGCACTTGTGACATTTGACCTGCATTTTTTCACCTGTCAGTCTCGAAAACTAAGACCTAAGTCTTCGAAAGTTAAGACCTGAATATACCTGTGTTGTTGTAAGGTGATGCTGTTTCCATGCAGTTTTGAATGAGAGAGACTTAGTTTTGAAGTCTTAGTTAAGTTTTCAGCGTCTTAGATTTCAAGGTATTTATAATTTTCCAGGTTATTTGTGTGGGTTGGAGTGGTTACATCAGGTGTAGACAATGCTAGAAATGTTATGACATCTCGCAGGCAATTCCCTAGTTTTATTTTAAAGTGTTCATTTATTTAATATTTTATTCTAGTACCAGGTCATTTTTGGCACTTTTGGTTTTAAGGTGTTAGTTTTTTAGTTCATAGGTCTTAGTTTTCCATACAACCCATACAAAAATTAATCTACTTCAGCTTATTGTCAGGTGTTGTTCATAATGGCATGATGAAAATTATCACTACATTAGTTTCTTAACTTCTTGCACCCTTGATTCTTTTTAACCTCCAGCTGATAATTCAAGCCAAAACTGACATCCAAACCCAGTAATAAAACTTTTAACTTACACCTGTATCACCCCTATTTTTAAACCTCCCATTGATATGAACCAATTCCCTTTTCCCAGGAGGTTTAACAGACCATGATTCTACTATATTTCTGAAATTTGTTTTGCAGACCAGTCCTTTACCTTCCCAGTCCACAGAAGGCTTCTGTAGCAGTGCGTTTTTGTCCCATTCTGTTCAAACTTAGACAAGAGCAAGGTACATGTTATGTTGGAGCTGTTGTCTTTAATTCTATTAAGGTCTGTTGGCAAATTTGTAACATTTACAATTTTCTTCAGGTAGCTTTCTGACGTTACAACTATTTCTGCTAATAATACTTATTAAGAGAAAAATGATGAGAGTGTGCACTATAATTATTAAAATTATGTTTACAATAGAGATAAATTAGAGGAAAATCTCACAAATTGTGGAACAAATCAATTTAGCTCAGCTCAGTAGCTGTACATGTAGGATGACATTGCTTTGTTTCCTTATCATGCAAGAAACCTTGCTGATCATGAACGTCATCTCCCTAATTCACCCACGTGTATAAATATGGGCACCAGCCACGTACTGCTGGAGGTAACCCTGCGATGGTCTGGCACCTAGGGGGTAGAAACAAAATTCTATATAGGGTGTACATGTGAGCTTGTGGGCTTACGGGTGTATACGTACATGTACCTTTACATTTATTGATTTTATACACAACACATACGATGTACATTATAACATAAGTGGTAACTTTGCTTATTTCTTTCCTCAAGTAGCAGCTACTCCTGTCAAGAGTCTGTTCAAGTAAGCTAGTTTCTTGTCTTATTACCTTTATTTCTAAAAATTACAGGTGTGAATGGGTCAACATTAATATTAATGTTGACCCATTCACACCTCAGTTCAGGCCAAGTCATAACAACTTGTGAGGAACCACATCCCTTGTGCATCTTGTAACATCATCAGTTTCAATACAGTTGAATCTCCCATAAGCTACCACCCAAAATGCAAAGGCTTGGCGGTCGCTCACTAGAGGTGGTTGTTTACGAGAGGTTCCAGTATAAGGCTTTGACTGAGAACATTTTTGCTGTTTTCGGAAGGCGGTTGCCTACGGGAGGTTTGACTGTACTCAAAGATGCCCAACTTCAATGGAGGAAAAGATCTGCTGTGCATATACCCCAAATGTGTGTGATTCAGTCAAACAGGTCAGAGGCTAGACCAGTGCAACAGATGATGGACCCTATCTAACTTTGACTGGAAAATTCACGTGAAATAATCATTAACCTGCTTAATCTTAGTTAACCTTTTATTAACCATGCACAAGCTACATGCCTTGCACCGTGAGGTTTTCATCTTTTAGTTTGAGGATTATTGAGGAGGTTTAGGGTACCGGCTTCATGGGGGATAAGATTAGCAATACGGTAATAATCTATCGTTACTTGAACAAATTCCAACTTCATTTTGTCTATTCCTTAAATCCTACTGTGTAAGAAAAATATACTTGGGTATCATCTGTACACACCATTATAGCCTGAGTGGCAGACACTTGAAAGGGAAGGGGAAAGGAATTAGGGCACGAGACCACGCACGAGGGAGGAGCGCACCTAAATCCCCCCCCCTTCCCCTTCCCCTTCCCCTTCCCCTTCCCCTTTTAACGCCTGCCTCGCAGGCTAACACCATTATTG